ACTGGGGATGTGGCACTTCCCCGTCAGTGTTTCCTGACTCATCACTTTATTCTCTTTAATTCCTTTCACTTTTCCTTCATGAAATGTTTTATCTTGCCCTAAAGTTGGTTTCTCTTCCTCCTGCACAGCCAACACCCAAAGGCAGAACCAGAGCCGGCGACTGGCAACGTGGTGCTTTGCTGATAAATAGAAGCCGCTTCGACCCCAAAATCTGACATTTTCACTGGGAAAAAAACTGATTTCAAGCTACCTGAGAGCTCCAAGCACCCACTTGTTCACTGAGGGATTTGCTCGGACCCCAAAATCTCACGTTTTCATTAGAAAAAAACTGATCTCAAGCTACCTGAGAGCTCCAAGCACCCACTCCTGTTTCCTTAGACCCCAAAATCTGACTTTTTTGCTAAAAAAAAACTGATCTCAAGTTATCTGAGAGCTCCAAGCACCCACTTTTTCACTGAGGAATTTACTTAGATCCCCAAATTTGGTATTTTCACTAGAAAAATCCTGTTTTCAAGCTACTTGAGATCTCCAAGCATCCACCTTCTATTTCCTTAGACCCCAAAATTCCACATTTTCACCAGCAAAAATCTGATTTCATGCTACCAGAGAGCTCCATGCACCCACCTGTTTGCTGAGGGATTCCCTTAGACCCCAAAATCTCACATTTTCACTAGAAAAAACAGTTTTCAAGCTACCAGAGAGCTCCAAGCACCCACTTGTTCACGGAAGGATTGCCTTAGACCCCAAAATCTGACATTTTCGCTAGAAAATAAAACGATTTCAAGGTCCCGCAGAGCTCCCCGCACCCACCTTCTGTTCACTGAGGGCTTTTGGGTCCGGATCCTGCCCGCATGGGATGTCTCTATCTCGTGCCGCCGCCTCCGCCGAGGGCTCTGAAACGCCACGTTGCCTCGTGAGGGGTCGATCCCACTCCCACTCCCCTCCCACTCCTGCTCCCTCTCCCCTCCCGCTCTGCTCCCACTCCCACTCCTCCTTTCCCTGCACCCCCAGCAGCTCCATCCCCCTCTGGCGGTACCTGACTCACTGGGCAGAACCTCCCAGGACATGTCGTTGCCGTCAGATGCTGGAGCCCCTGTCGAACCAATGTCCTGGTGGCCCTCGGCGAGGGCCAGACACAGCCCAGGGCTGCCGTCGCCTTCACCCCACGCCGAGGGGCCGCTCACCTCATCCTCCTCCTCCTCCTCCTCACCGGGTCGGGGCTGCAGGTGTAGCTCTTCCCCCCCACCATTGCCCTCAGAGCCCTCCATGGTGGCAGCCCAGACCTGGGAGGGCACAGCAGGGGGAAATTTTTATCACTAAAACTCAAACTCTGATGGAAAAAAGGAGCAAGCATCTCGCTTTAGAGTGAGACCCATTTGGGGAGCTCTAGTGCTCAGAAACCAGCAATTTAATGGGATTTGGGGATCACAAACACCCACTTAAGGAGCTTTTGGGCTAAGAAACAGCAATTTAGGGAGCTCTGGGGCTCCAAAATGTCGATTTAGGGAGATTTGGGGCTCAGAAACAGTGACTTAGAGAGGTCTTTGGCTGAGAAACAGCAATTTAGGGAGCTCTTGGCCCAAAACCCACCAACTTTTGAGCCATCGGAAACACCATTTTAAGGAGCTTAGAGGCTCAGAATGACCAATTTAGGGAGTTCTGGGGATGAAAACCAGCAATTTAATGAGATTTGGGGCTCAGAAACACCCACCTAGGGAAATTTTGCACCAAGGAACAGCAATTCAGGGAGCTCTCTGTCCGAGAAACACCAACTTTGGCAGCTCATGGGCCTCCAAAACACCCTTTAGGGGAGCTTTTGGGCTCAGAGAGACCCATTTAGGGACCTCTGAGGCTCAAAACCAGCAATTTAATGAGATTTGCAGCTCAGAAAGACCCAGTACAAAATCTACTCAGAAACAGAAATTTAGGGAGCTCTGGGGCTCCAAAACATCATAAAAGGGAGATTTTGGGGTCAGAAACAGTGACTTAGGGAGCTCTTTGTCCAAGAAGCACCAACTTAGGCAGCTCTTAGGTCTCCAAAACACCCTTTTAAGGAGCTTTTGGACTCAGAATGACACATTTAAGGAGCTTTTGGGCTCTGAAACACCAACTTGAGGAGGTTTTGGGCTCAGAAAGACCAATTTAGGGAGTTCTGGGGC